AAAGCTGCTAGTTTTAAAATGTGTTTTAGAATAAATGGAAAAAAGACCCATTTGATGATTTTTATTTTATTTTATTTTTTTCTCTTACAGTCTGGAGAGAAAAAGAAGGATGATGAAACAGTTGATAGCCTAGGTATGATTCTCTTTTTCTCTAATGTTTTGCCCTAAAAAGTAGGGCTTCAGACTTAAATGCAAACAGGAACCAGGCAGGTAATAAATAGACTGAGCAGCACTTACAAGTGGGAGAGTACTTGGTTTATCTCAGCTACCAGGTTGTCACCTGCTCCACCTGTATGAATTGGCCTGGTGGCTTTCTTCCCGTGATTCATTCCTGTTTTCAGAAAACTCAAGTGGAAAATTCAGTTTGCTTCTGTTTTGTTAACACTGATAATGAATTAAAATAAAAACAACAAGGCTGGGTGTGGTGGCGCAGGCCTTTAGTCCTAGCTCTTGGGAGGCAGAGGCAGGTGGACCTCTGAGATCCAGGGCATCCTGGTTTACATAGGGAGTTCCAGGCCAGCTGGGGCTACAGGGAGACCCTGTCTCAAAAAGACCAACAAAATAGGACTGTACCCCTCCCTCTCACCCCCCAATCAATTGCAGCTTCTGGAGCAAATGGGTTGTATAAAGGTTTTTTTGGCCACTTAGAATTTTTGGAGGTTACAGGCATAATTTTGGTTGATGATAACAGAAATGTGGCTGTGTCTTTGAGAATGTAAACTTTCCCTTAAATGAAAGACTGTTTCTTCCCTAGGTCCTCTAGAAAAAGGACAAGTGAAAAATGAGGCCCTTAGAGAACTGAGAGTGGAGCTCAGCAAAAAACACCAAGCTCGGGAACTTGATGGATTTGGTCTTTATCTGTAAGTATTACCAGTGATTAGGAGCTTTCTATAATATTTCCTCAAGTGAAGAGGCTGTTCTAAAGCATTAGCCTCCCCTGTGATTGTGACTTTCTTTCCCAGCTATGGTGTGGTGCTTCGAAAACTAGACCTGGTAAAAGAGGCCATTGACGTGTTTGTGGAAGCTGCTCATGTTTTGCCTTTGCATTGGGGAGCCTGGTTAGAACTCTGTAACCTGATCACAGACAAAGAGATGGTAAGTTGATAGGAGCTGCATGGAAAACCCTGTAATCTGTGGTAATCTAGTGGGAGGGGAACAGTCCTGCCAGTATAACCTTTATTATATTAAATATTTTATTTATTAGTTTTATTTTATGTGTATGAGTGTATTGCCTGCATGTATGTAACTGCATTTGTATCACACAATGCCCTTGGAGGTCAGGAGAGGGCCTCAGATCCTCTGGAACTGAAGTTATGGACATGTTAGCCACCATGTAGGTGCTGGGAATCAAGCCCAGGTCCTCTGCAAGAGCAACCAGTGCTCATTAACCACTGAACCATCTCTCCAGCTTCCACTATAATCTTTGTTCACTGCTAGCTCTTTGCTATGTTGCCCTGGCTAACCTTGAACTCTTGGCCATCTTCAGCATTCTGAGTACTAAGATTACCCATGTGTGTCACTATGCTCAGCCCTACAATCTTTTTTTTTTTTTTTTTTTTTTTGGGTCTTTTGGAGACAGGGTCTCCCGGTAGCCCCAGCTGGCCTGGAACTTACTATGTAGACCAGACTGGCCTTGAACTCACAGAGATCGGCCTGCCTCTACCTTCCATAGACCAGACTGGCCTTGAACTCACAGAGATCAGCCTGCCTCTACCTTCCAAGTGCTGGGATTAAAGGCGTACACCACCACACCCCAGAAATCCTCTCTTCTCTTACCTATCATACTCTCTGTTCCTTTCAAGTTGATCATTATTGTCACTACTTCTCAAGATGTCCTGTGGAGATTAAATCTAGGTTGTCAAGTGAGCTGGGAAATTTCTTTTCCACTGACTTAAGCCCAAGACATCCAGTTTTGACACCCCAGAGTCATATTTGTCCCCTCTGTGTCTCCTGTCTCTCTTAACTAGTCACGACACAGTGCCATGGTTCCCTTATACCCCTTCCCCTTCCCCTTCCCCCTCCCCCTCCCCCCCCCCCCCCCCCCCCCCCCCCCCCCCCCCCCCCCCCCCCCCCCCCCCCCCCTCCCCCCCCTT